TCATATGAATGAAGTTACTATACACATTGTAAAACTATATGATACCGCTAACCTATAGCTTCATTAAAATGACAGTGTTATTTTTATACTATTTTCCTTAGCCAATAATCGCATGACTAATTTAAATCAATATCAGGTGGGGTTTTTGTGAATATTATAGTAATCTCAATAGTTGAGATCATGAAGCTAGACCACCATGCAAAACCTGGAAGCAGTAGACGGTTGTTTCGTCCTATTGTGGGACTCCTCAGCAGTGCGCATCCACGATCCCGTATCGCGAGATTCGAACAAATTCAAGTTTCGATAATGCATTGCGAAGACGAAGTTTATCAGAATTACGTGATATATTTGCGCAATACATTTCGAACGATCTGATCACACATATATTTATTAAGATATTTTCATATGAAAATTAAAAGGTCAGCTAGACAGGTTAAAGGTAAACCGTAACAAAGAAAATAATAATAATAAAGTACACAAAAAACAGTGTGATAACCACTCTGGATAATAAATCAGTATTACCAGGGTAAGCTAAGGGTAAGAAGAAATTGTTTTTGAACACATGAAGGGAGTTTCAGTTTTTGTATAGCCAAGGCTTCAATAAACCTTAGTATACGTCCTTGAAGGCTTTTGTACAACACTGCAGATGTCAACTTTATGACCAGTCTTAATCAAAACGCAATGGAGGATGACGTCTGTCTATCCTGTGATCTTATTGGACCATTGGAATTCACATAATTCTGATAAACTTCGTCTTCGCATCGCATTATCGGAATTTATCAAAGGGACTAATTGTTTTCAATTTGAGTTAGTAAAATGTTTTTCTTTTCACAAAAAATTATGAAATTCTAGGGTTTACAACGGATTTTTAAAAATCTTATAATAAAAGAGGTTTTCGATAATGTATACTCTTCCTGATGAATATAGATCTTCCTTGATTCTTTATAAAGTAACTGCTAGCTAATCAATATAGTTATCATAACTTTTGTTAGTAGATGAGCCTAAGGGTTGATAGAATGACATTCAGATATATGACTATCCTGTTTAAGTTTATTTACGCTAGACCATTGGTGATTATGCAGTACATCATTAGTAATATGATTTGATTTTAAAGAACCATTCATAATTGGAAAACATTTCGAATTTGAGCTTTTGGTTCTCATTTATGTTGATATAATTTCATTTATGCCAATTAATGGCAAAAAGTAAACATCTCATCAATTTAGAAGGTTTTAAGTAATATATAAATACATTCACTGCAAAACTTACTTATTAGTTGACTGGTGGAGAGTGAAGTTATCTTCACCGCTTTCATTATTCAACGAGCCAATTCTATCGGGAACTTATGGTTATTTTCCATTCATTTTATGAGTAAATGCTACAGATTGGAGATTAATTTTTATTAGCAACTTCATTTCAGACTTCTAGATTTATCCGAAAATATCTACTGTAAACATGTTAGTGTAGCGCAACCAAACATTCCAGATGGGAAACACAAAGTAGTTATTATCGACTGTGTTATATTCCAACGAGGATTATGAATGATAACTTTTGAGAACTATTTATGAACCAATACAATACATATATTTTTACTGTATAATTGTTAAGTATTTAAACTATACATACTCATGTTCCTCTTGTTATAAGCTTTATTTTGACCCATAGACTATTATTATACGATTTACCGTTCTTGATTTATTAATTACAGCCCCCTCCACATTCGTAACCACTTTTGCCTAGATATTATACAAATTTTGTTTTTTATGTTGTGGTGCGATGTGGTCTTTTTGGTTTGTATATAAACCCAGTATGTTCGAAATACAAGATTCATATCGTAGAGGCTGAGATTAGTGTTCTGAAGTCCGATAAGGACTCTAGACTGCTCCTACAGATTTACGTGTCATTGATCCGGTCGATAAAGCACTGTTCTCTAAACGGTGATATCATTACGTTATATATTAATAGGGCACAAGGCCACAAATTATAACGGATTGTTGAATAGTGCTTAGTTCACTAGTTCAAATCTTGTTCTATACTTTCATTACACTAGTGATGAAAATAAATACGAAGTGTACCAGAATAAGATAAAATAATCGTTTTACACTAGATAACTCTTAATTCTATTTAAACTTAATGTAAACGTGTAATATACATCACTTTTTAATGTTTAATTTAATTTACTAGTACTACATCTAATCCAAATTAAATAAATCATGCTATGTATATCAAGATTATATTAGTAAATGCGATTTGCTTGTATTTAATGATACGTAATATACGTTATACTTCAAGTAGGATTAACTAACATTTAGAACTAGATCATTTCATTCATTTGTACTAGTTGTATAAAATACGATTCATAAATTGATCAGTTTTAAATAATTACGTTGATATAAACTACTAATGAAATAGATTATTTATATGACTTTAGATTTAATTCAACTGACTATATGCACATCTATAATTAGCCAACTTAACTATTTAGAAAAAGAAAAAGAAGAAGGAAGATACTGAATATAAAGGTGAATAGTTACTTACAGTTTATGTGTACTGAAAGATATAATAGTCAAGATGGTGAATTTGTGGTCGGTAATCATGTTTAAACAAATGATCTAAATATGTATTAGAGTTTAACTAATCTTGCTTCTCACTTGTTATGAAATCATGACTTGACATATCCTGTCTAGTTCATTCAGAGTATGAATTATTGCAGTAATAGTTAGATTTGAGTAGTCAAATAACATCTATCAGTTAATAGGTTTCACTAATCATATAATCCTAATCTGAACATTAGGTAGGCTTCTTTTTTGTTTTTTGTTAAGTTTAACTTATCAACGATTAACGTGAGAGAAGGTTAAATCAAAAGATTGAACTCGTTGAGTGAAATATTAGTATGTTCACATTCATAAAAATTGCAATTAGAATAAATTTTTAGGAAACTTAAACAGAAAAGTATCGTTGATTCATTACATTCTATTAAAATTACTTCTCTTTAAGTCGGAGTTATTATTTCGTGGATTAGTTGAAGTTAGACATTAACACCGTTGGATGCCGGCTTAGTGGTCTAGAGGTTAAGTGTTCACACGCAAGACCGATAGGTACTGGGCTCGAATCCCGCGTGTGATATCGTGGATACGCATTGCTGAGGAGTCCCACACTAGGACAAAACGACCATCCAGTGCTTGCAGGTTTTCCATGGTTGTCTGGCTTTAATTGACTCATGCATTCAACTATTAAATTTTATCATAGTTGACTGGTGAATTAATGTTTTTTTATTTTACTGTTAACCCCATCTTTATTTATAAAAATATTATAAATGATAGTAAGCATCAATTACCAAAAAATAAGTGTACAAATTGACTTCTATTGTAAAACGAAATGCCTAAAAATTGTTGGATTATTAGAATAAACAGTGGTCTTGATGTGCATACAACAGAAATTCGAGATGATGGAGAAGATTTGTAGCTCAGGTGGATTATTTTGATGGATTTTTGTTCTCCGAGCTGGATGGTTTGGTCGTGGAGCTTTCATCGTTCTTCTGAACGACGGCATCAGCACAAACGTCTATCTGAAATTCCCTAATCTATTTAAAACATAATCTGTTCAATGAGAATGAACCAGGTTTTAAAGAAATGAAAACATCGTGAATGCATGTTAAGGCATTTGTTATATGATTAGAACCAACATGTAATTATAAGAAAAGTGATTATCTACTTATTTTCTTAGTGTGGCAAATCAAACAAGGGATCTCTTCGTGTGTGTATGTGTACATTTGTGAACATCAGCATTTTAACACTCCATGGCCTACTCTGTTTTGGATAAATTTTAAAAAAATGTTCCATTTTGATTGTTATCACGAAATAAAAAAATGTACTGCATTATAATAAAGTTCTTCGAGGAAACTACTTAAATGAACAATAGTTGTATGTTTATTCGTGATTAGCTCCATGATATGTTTCCTGAACTTTTAGTGATAAGATTTGACATATGAAATGAGCAGTAATTCACCTAACATGATAGTGTCATATTGCAAACTGATGGAATTAAAGTGTTGATCACTGAGTTCCAATACATCGAGTTTAAAATATCGTGCTCTTTAAAACATCTAAATATCCTAGTTTCACTGTTGTTTGAACTTGCGGATGTGTGATGTTGAACTGTCTGAAACATAGAAGAAACAATTGTCTGTTGTCCTTCCTTTCTAGTTTTCAATGGTTCTTTATTTGACATTAGTTTGTTGTGACAATCGCCTTTGAAAATCTCTGACACATCGTTTAACTCAAAATTAAAATATATGATAAGGATGTGGATTTTTGACTATAGTTGATTTATTGGAGTTTACTTACTTACGCCTGTTGCTCCTCGTGGAGGAGCATAGGCCGCCCACCAGCATTCTTCATCAAACCCTGTCCAGGGCAATCCTTTCCAGCTCTTACTTACATTATATAATTAATAGTTTGTATCATTTAGAGTTGGATGGAAATGATGTGGCTACTTAACTTACGTAATTTTACTTCAAAGTCACACCATTTAATGATTTACTAGTTTATCTCATTTCAACATGATGACTAGAATACCCTGCTTTCTTAATTCAAGAGAAGAAACGAAAACTTACAAGAGACAACATATATTTGTTCAGCAGATTAAAGAAAGGTTATACATAAGAGGCAGCCAATCTGCCCTGAGTGTTTGTTCCATGGGGTAGTTTAATATGTCAATACTCGTTTTCCTTGTCCTCGATAATTTATCACCAGCTATTTAACGTCCATTGATCAGTCTTCTAAAGTAGGGAGCTAGATGGATAATCTAACTAGCGTTCAATGTTATATTTCACTGACTCTAAAAAAGTTAAAACTATTACGAAACTAAGTTTTACCGATATGTTCTTACTCTATGATTATATAACATATTGTCAAAATTACCCGTTCCATAATCTCCTTCATTGTATTTATCCAAATGAGTGGTTTTTTCTTACTTTTTATAACACTTTTTCATTATAGATCGTCGGTCAAAAAGATCGTGGTAAACAAGTTGAAACAATTCTACGTTTACATTTTCATAATCATTCGTTTACTGAAATAGATGAAGAACTACCTGTTCCAGCGATTGTATTCTTCGAAGCATTTCCTTTCAATTTCGTATTTAATCGTGGTATGAAGTTATTGAATATCGGTAGAAGTATGGCCAATGCGCTACCAAACATAGTTGGAAAAAATGTGACAGATATATTTCTTTTATGTAGACCCGTTATACCATTCACTTGGGATGATGTAAGTGTGACTGATATTCTAGTACATTATTCTAGCTGTTTTTTTCTCGTTTTTTTCTTGAAATAATAATTTAGAATTGATGATTTGTGGCTAATAATAGAATCCGGGAAACTCTTTTCATCGCATATCGGACTTGTTAACTGGTTGCACCTGTATTCTAGTATTGATGTTCACACCTAAACTCCAACACATTACCTTTCGTTTCAAACGCTAGCGCGTTATTTAATGGGTCACTAAATCCTAACCACAATGTATATATATTCCGTTTACAATAGATATATTCTTCATAACTTATGCCATAATGGTTATATCGAAGCATTAGACACAAAACGCATATATACCAACAAAGACTGATCAAAATTAGTTCCTAGTATCGAAAACGGGTTACAGCAAAATCTTGCTAGTTTTCTGTTTTCACTATTATTTCACAGTAAGAGTAGAAAGCCAAATTATTTATAAGTTAAGCCTTGCAATACTGTGGAGATCTAATATTAACTCGGTATCAAAAGAAGGTGATGACATTATTTGATGTGATGGAGATCTTAATTTGTTGAAATAAACTAAACTCCAGAATTAAAACCAGTTTGGTTTAGATTTTTGAGTTTTCTAAAAATGTTTTTAGACGAGAGGTTCTGTATGGAAGGCACACGTAAGATATGGTAATACTGTAGTGAACGTGAACACAAGTGGGGACAATCGAATGTTGTTGAACACAAAATTACAGGATCTCTTAGTGAAATTCAAGAACCATACAGTCAATACTTCAGTTGAAAAATGTCAATCAATCGTCTCAGACTTCATTGTTCCTGTGTTTCCACAGCAAGCGTTCTATGTTCTCGTTCTCCTTTCTTCGATCTTCTTAACCTTCTGCCTCCAGGCATTTCACTTTTGATTGATGATACATACTACTTATATCCGTCAGTAGCACATACCACAAAAATAATATAGAAGGCAGTTATAAAATCACCATATAACTGTTATAAGACATTTTAAAGAAACTAAGATATTTCGGGTTTTTTTTCTCAGGAGAAATCTCTCACTTTTTTACTGGTTTTGGTCCAGCCCATTGAACTACTTCTAGTATATATGCATTATGTTTGGGATATCCATTTGTTGATCGAATCCATGTATCGAGTTAGTCAGCGAACGGTGCACACATACCAACAAGACTGATCAAAATTCCATTATGAATATCAATAACAAAATAGCTCAAACCTTTAATAATAATGATATTAATACCTGATATAATTTATAGAACGGAATAATCAGTAATGATGCAGGAGTTATGTTACCTCTGTAGGCTGTTCAGTTTCTTTTCATGTCTAAATTTAAAGTTAACAGTTTATCATCAAGAGATTGAAGGTAAAACTATTCAAAATTGACCATTATTTAATGAATACTAATAGTCCATTAATTTAAAAGCAATTACAATAGGAAGAAACTTACATACATGTAGTACGATCGTCTTCATACCTAAAGTGTTTTTAGCAGAAAATTACAGATCATATAGGAAAGAAGGAGAAGAAATAAAGAGAAAATACAACTACATGAGGTCAATCAACTTTGGTTGGTAATGGAATTGAACGCTCTTTTTCATAATATGGTATACTATTGTCTTACATAAAAGTAGAACCATAGTCATTTAGTTATCTGTTTCGCTGTGTTTATATTAGTAAACCCATTTAATAACAAAAACATTGGAACAGAATCAAATTTCAGATGCTTAACCTAAGAAAGTGAATTAAATGTAATTGACACATTTTTGTAGACTAAACACAGTCTTGTAATGTAAGGACATTCCAAGTACTTCTTGGAAATGTACATACAATTCGGTATTTGTTAATATGGTCCTTTTGTGAAGGTTCATATGCAAATAATAACAGAATAAAAGAGGTAATTGCTACAAGTTTGAATTGTAAATATTCATAATTCGTATCAGAAAGGGGTTTTATGGATATTATAGTAATTTTAATGGTTGAGATCATGAGTCAATTGAAGCTCGACCACCATGGAAAAGCTGGGAGCACTGGATAGCCGTTTTGTCCTAGTATGGAATTTCTAAGCAATGAGCGTCCACGATCCCGCACGCAGGATTCGAACCCAGTACCTATTGGTCTCGCGCGCGAACACTTAACCTCCAGACCATAATTAAATATATACTTTTTTATTAGAATGAAATGTTTACTAATCATTATTATCAAGTGTCATCTATTAATATTTTAAATAATTGTAATACGAAATAGGTATTAAAGAGGAATTTCATGCGACATTTTATTCCTTGTGCTTACAATTGACTGATCACTGGGTGGCGATCAATGTCATGTGTGCCAAGTCCTTATTTAGTGCAGATCGAATGCTATCGATCATGTTGCAATGTGGCCAACAGTCTAGGTGACTCGACACGGCGGGCACTATATATTGAGATCAGGTGGTGGTTGGAGGTAGTCCACAGTGTCGGGTCACCTAGACTGGTGGCCACATTGCAACATGGTCGATAGCATTCGATCTGCACTAAATAAGGACTTGGCACACATGACATTGATCGCCACCCAGTGATCAATCAATTGTGATTACATCTCAGTCTTACAGGAGGTCAGTCGCGGCTCGGATAGCTCAGTGGTAACGTCTCTGAATGTGAAGTTGGGTGACATGGGATAGAATCCGTCAGGAAGCACCAGTTCCCTTAAGATTACAGGTACACCTTGCTGACGAGTGCCAAGTAGCATGAAACCCGGGTCCAGGGTTTCCTGTCGACTACCTCCAACCACCATCTGATTCCTTGTGCTTGGAATTTCATTTTTTGATGCAAATTTACAATTAGTATAGTATTATTTACAATTGTAACTAATATTCATTCACAACTTCAGTCATTAAACTATCACTTCATTGAATAGATTAATTGAGAATATATATGTATACTTCCCAGTAATTTTATTATCTGACTGATTATCTTGATGAAACTAGTAAGGATAGAAAATTGCTTAATCATTTATCATCTAACTAATCTGTATATGTTCATAGTAATTTATTTGATGAGTAGATGTGTGATCGTCAGCTAGCGAGCGAGCGAGCGAGAGATGGACAAACAGATTTACTTTGAGATGTAAGAAAGATTAATTCTTAAATAATGGAAATCTATGTATTTCGATAACAAAAGTTTGACCACGCCCACTAAATTGTCATTAAACAATCGTTACACAAATAAGTGTAATTATCTTTTTTTTTGAAAAGAAGGCAAATTTTACAATGTGATATCAAATTTACTTCGGTTCGAAATATTGTTTGGATATATAAATGTGAAGTGGTCAAACATGGCATAATTATTCCTGTGCGTATGTGTGTGATTTATGAATTTTAATAGAGTATATAAGATATAGCGGTTACTATGACAACCAAGTTCGAAATGGACAATAACTTTACAGCTAATACTTAATGCATATATAGAAAAAAAACTCCAGACTAACCTTGACAATAGATTTGAAAAATGTAGAACGAAATGTTTATCAAGGAGAAAAAAAAGAATTCGAGTAACTCTAATTAAATAACTTTAGGAAGTTCGCACCCGTCACGAAAGAATGACAACTAGTGACATTGAGGCGTCATTTCTCTTGTAACTATACAAACTGAAATTGTAACATAATGAAACTGAGATTTACTAAATGTAAGAAACAAAGCAAACACTAATGGCAGATGAACGTATCTTATTCACTACAATACGAACACACGACAACTTTCGTGACCAAATATGCATTTTTTTGTAAACATATTCAACAGTTAATCAATTAGTAACGTATTAAACTAAAATAACGGCAATATTATTGGATTTTACACCGAAATGATCTGAACATTAAATTAAAAATGAAAAGGATAACATATTGATTAAATATCATATTTAAACAGCAATATGACATTGCATCATATCATAAATGAAGTTGAAGCTTGAAACTTTAGGTCACTTAGCAGTAAGTTTGAAGTCAATGGTTATCATTTACGAGTTCATTATATTTTTACGATTTTAACACAATGTTATCGGTTCCATTTTCCTCTTAGTTTATTATTATTAAGATCATCAGTGTTTATTGGAACCTCAGAAAAAGTACATTTCGAAACTAGTCATTGATAACTTAGATACTAACAAATATTGTCAAGTTAAGTCATAGACTTTTGTAATGTGAATTAATAAAACGTTAAGTTAAACTGAATTGAAATAAAATAAAATTCATCTTTCATTTTCAATCGAGTCACTTTTGAAAGTCACCAAAACTGCTAAGTGAAAACTAATGTTTCCTAAAGATACTTCATTTTTCTACATGTTCAAGAAACTATGGTTTAGTAGTAGAAACAGTAGATTTTTCAGTAATTACTTTATCTAATCTAATCTGAACAGCCAAGTAGTAACACTAGGCTTTATATAAAGTGTGACTTAAACTACAATATTCAGGAATCTGCATCAAGTCGCTGGATTTCATGATCAAATTATTGACGTTAATGTTGGAAATCTAGAAGTAAGAAAGTATACCTTAGAGAATATTCTACAAGGATTATGCTAACTTGAACATACTTTGCTTCTTGTATTTGTGGGTTCTAACTGCGCAAACTGAACGTTAAATAGGTGTAAACTCATAAGTGAATAACAAGAGGAAGAACACAAAATTAGGTAACGGATTAAGATCTCACTCATCCTCCAAAAAACATGATAAGTTTTTTTGACGATATATGCTCATTTGTAAATAAATTTTATTGGGATTTGATGACTTATCAATGAATACTTTACTTAAATGAAATAGTAAGAATATGAAATGAAATTTATACTGAGTTGATATGAGCGAATTGTTATGTTCGGTACTTGATTAACACAGAATACAGTATGCAACTACGGCACTCGAACGTATAGAACGCCACAGTTGCAAAATCAGAAGACAGAAGAAAGCTGGAGAAGTGTTTGTTGGGTAAGAATCAAAATGTACAGAAAATCATGGGTATTTATAGATATTAGCGCTTGTTATAACGTTGTTATAATTCAGTCAATCCTTAAAGAGGCAAGTTATACTACTGTCCATTAGTAGCATGCCACGTTGATATTCCAGAAAGCTCCACCACGTTCTGAATGGATGGAAACTCTTTGGCTCCTTTAGGGCCTCAAGAGATGCCGTCGTAATTCTCGGAAGCCGACCCATGTTATACTGAACAAAATGCAGACTAAACTAGTGAACATCATCCACTAAATTATATCATGATCTCACTTTTATTCTCTTCTATCATATCTGCCTTATTTATAAATTTCTCATTTCGATTAATCTTACTTAATTTATTTGTTGATAGTATAACACAAACGTATTTAATTTTCGTCTGATTTCAGATAATGCTACATACAAATATTATATTTGAACTAACAAGTAATGAAATAAACAAAGGTAATTATGAATTTAATTCATATATTACAGTCCTTTTTATTAATATCTTCCATTTATGCACACATCATTACCTAAAATAGTCTATTATTTCTAAGACGATTAACATCACTGATCATGATCGGCTGGAGAACCATTGAAAACCAAGTAGAATTGAACAGTATTTTCTCTCTGCTTGAGACAGATCAGTAGTGCACGCCCACAACACCATCAGAAATCGAACCCATAACCATAAGATATCGTTAGTAGGAAATTCTCAACTTGTATAGTTAGCTTAATAAGGAGTAGTAAAAGACATTCATTGATAGTGTTTAATAATAAATAAATTATGTATTGAAATGATTACTTTATTCCAAATTCATGTTCTGACTTAAGTATACGCCTATTTCGACTTCAAAGTCTCTGAGCAGATGTCAAGTTAGTGTATATTATGAGCTTAGGGTATTGTCATCTCGAGACGAATTAATCAACTAATACTTACAATTATTCAATAGTTGTTCAGCTTACATCCAATCCATACATTAAATAAACAAACAAATTAGCGAATAAAAATTCTGATTGAGAAATTCAATTTTCATAGTTAGTCTAAATAATACCTAAAATTAACATACATTGTACTAACTAAGGTGTAGATTGAATTTTCATCACAACAAAAACTATAACGAAGGGAACAAAAAAATGTTATAACTTGTCAATTGAATGCTGATTGTCTTAGCTTTTTTAACGCTACTTTTTATATCTGGTCACCGCTGATTGTTGTGTCGGAAACGCTTATCACTTATAGTCGGAACGAGGGACCTTCTCAATTCATTTAATTACCTGCAATTGGACCCCTTTACAAATTGGAACAAAGCAAGAATGACACATATTTGCAGAATACAAAGAATTCATTGTGCTTCGTCCAGTTCTCTTCAACTACATACAATCTAATTGGTTCAGTTATTTCAAATTAACACTGATTAGTATTTGAAAGAAAAAATGTATTTCACTCGTAAATCTAAACATTTCCATGTTTTCCATAGTGATCTAAGTTCAATTGACTCATGATCTCAACTATTGAAATTACTTATAAAAACCTTATTAAAACTTTACCTCTTAGCTAAATTCACAATCTGGGTATTATGATTTCATCCTAAATCTCAAATTATGTTAATGAATTAAAATAACTGAACTAATTAGCTTGTATACAACTTAAGAGAACGTAGACTAATATTTGAACGAAGGATATTCTTTTCCATAAATTCTCTTCAGGTTCTACAATGTATATATCCAAATTAATAATCCGAAAAATGGCCTAGTTAAGGGTAAGGTGTATCGTTTAAAGCATTTGAATTTCGGATTGTTAATCAAAATACAATAAAATTGTTCATGTTGATATGACACATATAGAATGTTAACATGAATCTGCATATACGTTAAGTGAAATTCAAGATCCATGATCAGAATAAATATGGGTCAGATAGGGTGAAAGAAATATATATTCTGGAAATGTTATCGTTCTTGCCTAATTTGTTTGATATTCTTAACAAAATAAAATGAGTTTCATTTATAGGAAGTAGGTAGTAATCACAAACTGACCTGATCAATACTAATCTTATACTTTTTAGTAATCAACACTTTTGACAAAGTATGTGGTTAACTATAAAACTTCAGCTCCTATATTAAACAATCGAATCAAGATTCTATGATTTACAGAACATCACTTTTATTCTCACTTGTTGATAACAATTTCTGCATAAATTCAAGATGGCATTTAATTAAGCAGTACTAAATAATTTTTAGAGAGAATCTCATAGTTATCAAACTTATCTTTGAATTACAGTAGTTCCTCAGTTGTTATAGTTTTTCTGATTAAGTTAAGCTTAGTTATTGAGATATCAACTAAATGTGTGTTAATCAATCAAAAAAATCTCTATCACTATCTAACTTTATTACATTAAAGAAATTAATACCAATGATGAACAGAACAACGTAGGAGATCAGTCAGATACAAATCGAGGTAAATTAAAACTTCGCGGTCAAATGAAATATATGAGTGAATGGGATGCTATCGTATTTCTTGGAACACCAATGTAAGTTGACTTTATTTCATTTAGACAGTATTCAACTTGTATCTTAACATATTATATTTTTCTCTAGAACGTCTGTTGATGTCATCAAAGTCGGTTAAGTTACAGCATAGGGTCTAGGTTGGTCCAAATGTTCGATATGAAATTTTTAAGTTAGAAGTGAAATGCTCTTGTAAAACTGAGTATGTGAAATAAATGCAGCACCTGCTTACCCGATTTTTCAATCATAATACCAAATGTAATTAAGAAATGGATCAGAACAATGGTGTTTACTACTATGGAGATAAGTAATAATACATGGATATCAGAACAAAAAATAGATGGATATGGGTTGAGTCCATGATCTGATGAATAAAGTTAAACAACTTGGCCATCACTTTAGAAGAGGGAACAGCTGATTGGCCAACTAGAACTGACTGGTAGTATAAGTACTCTAAAATAATCGTTTCTATTTAAAGAAGGATAGTATAACTTATAGGTAGATAAATAAATAAACAAAAACGAAAATAAAAGTCGATCAGAACAGTTAATCAGTCTTCAATTCTACTAAATTGTATTAGCTGCTGTATTAGTTAAGTGAGTTGTTTGATCATCTTTAAATTGAAGAATCCTGTGTGAAGGATCGATAAATACAAAGATGCTTCATCTACTTAAAGCAGACATGGAATGTTCAACTAACTTAATTCTATAGCTGATGACTATTAGACAGAGGAAGAGAAAGATGAATCATACGGATTATGTTTCCAAATACTTTATTTGTGGGGCAGAATGTATCAATGAAATTCAGAACAAGCGTTTCGTCCTATTTGGGACCCGCTAGTTTGATGTACTTACATACCAGAGTTGATGTTCACCCCGGAACTTGAACCCAATATCATTCGTTTCAAACTCTATCACGTTATCCACTTAGCTACTCTGTCAAGATAGCCATTTTACCCCATTGTACAAGCTAATGGAAGACTTTATGTACGAAAAAAGATACTTTGGAAATAATTTCGACATTCCTATTTTTTGATAACTCGATCTTAAAGTTGAAATGGTTTTAATTTCATAGACTTGATATTGATAAAATAGGCAAGACTATAATTTATGAACAAACCAATGAAACTAAAGATAACAAGTTAAGTATTTTAAAGTGAACTTCATTCATCTATCTAGTTAAATAGCATTTTAGCATTATAACTAATATCAGTTCATAATGAAAAACTTTACTATATTTTATAACTTTCAAATTTAACTCTTAATCTTAATCCTGATTTCTTATACTAATTTATAACCCTCTTTGAACCTTAGTAAGTTGGTGGGTTATATTAAGGTCACTTGAGCGTCGTTCAAATATCATTCATAAATTATTGTTTCACCGTTAACTATTTGTCACAGCTTAACTACTTTGGTTTAATTTTTATCATTTTTAACTTAACAATAAAAAGACTCATGATTTCAACTGTTCAAATTACTACAATCACCACAAAAACCCTTCTGATACTAATCAATATATGCTCACTAGTGACTGGCTTCAAGAGATATATCCTATAGTTCTAGTGAGAAGCAGTGACCAGTGGAGTTCAGCCAGGTATGTTGTGAGGTATTAACTCACTGATGACAATTATAGATGTGTTGCTCAATTTCGTGGATTAATTGAAGTTCGACATTAACACCGTTGGATGCCGGTCGGCTCAGTGGTCTCATTGGTTAAGCGCCCGGCGCGAGACTGATGGGTCCTGAGTTCGAATCCCACGAGATGGAGTCGTGGATACGCGCTGTTGAGGAGTTACACAATAGGACGAAACGGCCGTGCATTGTTTCCTGGTTTTCCATGTTGATCTATCTTCAATTGACTTATGATCTCAACTTTTGAAAAAGATTATTGTTTAGTACTAGTGAACAATATATTAATACGTTCACATTACATATTTTTAAATGCCACTTTTAAATTTTACATTATCTCATAGAATTTGTTTTATTATAGAAAAGTTAATTTATTTATAGATACCGCTAAATCATTTCTATACCAATTTTTTAAAAGTATGTTCAATATTTAAGTATAGAATCAATAAAAGAAGTAGAATGGATCGTTTTTAATGATCATTTCTATGATCTTGTTATGTTAGTTTTTAAATATTGATCATGTTAAATGTTACTGAATGGAACATTGAAGAACTATGTACTTTCTTATATAATTATTCATAGTTTCTTATACTTAAAATGTATTTGTGTTATAAATTTAAGTAATATATAATAATATAATATAATATTTAAGTAATATATTTAAATTAATTATCATGTATTTTCACTATTATGTCAAAAACTACTTGTATTAATAGGTTACCTGGTTTTTTTTTTCATGTGTGTTCAACATTACAAAGTAGGTTTATATGAAATATTAGCTTGTCAAATGAATCTTGAAACTAGGAAGAAGTTTCAATGTATTTCTTATCATAAGTTAATACAAAATAAACAATTACTGGTAACTTTTTTTTAGTGTTGAATAACTATACATACCAACTAAAACAAAATCATAGACCTTGTCATGAATACACATAGTTGTTAAATAAAGAGATTCCATTTCAAACAACTTGATCATATTGGTTAGTGATTAGTGATATAGTTTTAAATTGTAAGAGAAAGATAGATTCTTTGAAGAATTCAGCCTAAATGATAAGTTTCAATGAACATGAAACCTCGGTTTAATCAGGGATTCCTACTGACTGGCATATCCTATCAACATAAAAAAAACTATCACTTAACGAGTTGTCAAGATTGTTGACTACATTACAATTAATTCGGTAGAATTTAATTAGTAATGAGTAAACAAATACAATGTTAGTGTAAGACTTCACTCCTACAAGTGATTGTTTGAGAGACAACTAGCTTAGTCGTAAGATATTCGGCTGTGACATTAGGTGATGAATTATGATGAAGCCTGATCCAAATCTTCTTGGTAATTTTCTTGAACTACTTGACATCAAATTTTACTTCAATGACTAAGATTATTGATCATATCAGATCAGAATATACTTAGTTACTGATCGCACTTGGTTGGTACCATTTACACATATCAACAGGTATCGGCATATAGTAATCGGAACATTTAAATTTAAATTTTTATTTATTCTCTGAAGAAGTGGCTTACGCTAAGTCACGAAACGTCAGAAAATCTAATTTTTCTACTCATTGGGATATTATAAATATATTATTTATTTAAATTATTACTTTGTTTTTCGCTTACACAACGTATTCCCAGTAAAATACATTTTCTAGTAGACCACTGAAAGACTTGTGTTGAATATCATATGGGAGGTAGGCTATACACTGCTAAGGTGCTTGAAACTTGGAAGAAGTAACTGTGAAACTGTGAGCTGCATATCGTTGAATGATTCTTTATCAAATATCATATATCGATAAAAACTGTCTGCAAAGATTATTATTTATTATTATTAGCTTTTGGTACAATATAGAATCCTCACCAAAAAGTATTTCAACAATTTTCCGTTTCTTATTTCTTGATCGATCCTGACGATAACAGTTGAGTGGTTGTCAGTTAGAAGTTAGCAGTTCAGGAATCGACATATGAATAATGCATATTATTTTCGATGCATAATGCCAGCAACCATCATGTTTCTAATTGGGCGTTTTTGTAACTTGTACAGTGAAAGGTCGTAAGCTTTTTACAAACGCACCTGAATAGTTTATGTGATTAATACACATAATGGTAAGTTAAAACACGAAAAAAATAACTTGTTGAAATATCTAGAGGGTAGAAACAGGTGTTCAAGCAGGCTGCCAAAGATATTGGGTTAGGAACAATAACAATAACTGGGCGGATTTGCATGCATATAGCATACAATTCTCTTTGAACCTAGCACACAACAATAGCATCATGCACTATCCCATCGCCCTTGGCAGATCAGGCAACCCGAAAGTTACGAGAACACCATCAGGGCATACGACAGGCTATCTATATATCTGTTAAATTGAGTTTGTAATGTGTTAGTACCCTTGTGACATATTTAAGTGGGAGGAAAATGTTTTGCCTTAAACTAATATTGGCTAATTAAATAAATAAAATATTTGGTGGTCGATCAGTGTTTTTCTTCAGAAATTCCATTTTTGTCCATTCAGTTTATTTCACACCGAAACTTATTATCTTTAGGTATTTTAATACATACTTATATTGTAAAACTGTTGAATAAGAATTTGGTCTTTAGCATGTTTTACCCTATGGTGTGTTCTACTTATATTGACATAAGTAGTAGATCATGTTAGTCGTGAATTGAATGTCTGGCAGAAGAGAGACAAGAGGATCGAACAGTAAAGAATGTAAACAGAATGCAATTTGTGTGAAAATGGAAGAACAACGAAGTCTGAGTCATTTTGAGACAACTGGTGGACATTTTGCAAATTACGTATTTACTATTTGATTGTTAGCTTCTATTAACAAGTTCTGTAATTTTGTGTCAAATACATTCGATTGTTCCCATCCGTGTTGTATTCACTACAACCTTACTTTCAATATTCGTAGGCTAGTGTTTGTTCTCATTCTAAACATTTACACATCCTTATATCAGGGCTTATAAATGTCAAACAAATTTTTATCTAAGCCAATGCCATTAGACTACCAGAGTTTGCTAATAAGTATTTTATTACATATCCACGATTACTGATTTTGGTTTTTCTAATAGTTCGTAAAACTTAATTTTGGTTTTGATAAAGTAGTAGAGTAGGACATGGTTATCAATTTCCACAAGGAAACATAATATAAACATTTGTTAAGTCCTATTTGTTTGAGCATCAATATTATTTAACATGAATGTTTACATAGTCAATAACGATTGAAATTTAGTTTCTAATTATTTGGACAGATTATTCATTATAAATATCGTTGCAAGGGTGGTAAGTGAAATTGGAAGAGAACTTGTATCTTAGGAGCACTCTGACTGGCATCCAGTATACGACTGGTCTAGTAACACATCAGTTAAGCAAATAAATTCAAAACTTTTCCAGGTTTCAGTCTTATTGTAGTCACCGAATGTTTTATTAGCCCCCCTTTTGATCTATAGGTGTGTTAATAACTAGCTTTTTAGGAGTAGCAGATTAGCCGTTAATGTATTAAACTTTCTGCTCGATATCTATTCATAGTAGTCCTGTCCTGGATAAGATAGTCACCTTGGTTATTTGGATATTTGATAACAATATCTCTGTTTAATTACATATACAGATACATTGGTTCAGTTTTGTTTATCGTATTTATTCATAAGACTATATGTTGTCCAGCTGGCAATAGTGAGACAATCTACTCAATCTAATCCAAGTTCAATTTTAAATATTATTGACGAGTTAGTACAAACTCTGAAAAATAAATGAAGAAAAGATTTATGTGACATAAAGAGATGATTCGTTTATTAGGATAAATGTAATAACATAAAACAATATTCATTTCAATTTCTTTAGATGGCAATTATATAAAATATGCATAGATCTTTAGGGAAATTCTAGCTTAGTCTTATTCGATATTGTCAAAGTTGGAAATTCATGACTAGATATCATGAATCTATTATATGTTACATAATAATAAAATATGATTAAGTCATATTGTCTATTTTTAAGTTATTCTAAAAGAAAATTATTTCTGTTCCTTCATTTGCTTCGATTGTTCGGATCTTCTCATTGATATGTAGGTCTGCAATTGATCAGTCTCTTTAGACACTTATATATCCTGTACAAATTGGCTCGATATCGCCATTAATTCATAAGCATAATAGGTAGAGATGGATAGTGGCTTGTTAGCTGGATGAACATGCATCACAGGGTTGATGTTCTCCCCAGAACTCATATTTTCGCTCCAAATGCCATTACATTATCCACTTAGCAACAAACTTATATAATCTCAACAATATACCTTAGATTCTTTTTAAGTGTAAGTATATTACGCAAAATACTTTTTCTCTTCTAGATAAAATACAAAATTCAACTCATCTTATTTCACACTCTAAATTAATATGAAGTAAATTTATATGTTTCATAACATACTACATATTTATGATAATGTCATGTGCTAGAAAAAGAGGAGAAAAAAATGTTTACTGGGAATGATAAAGGTTAAAGTAAACAAGTAAATAAAAAGATTATTTAGTTGTTAATTAAACCATAGAAATTGAATTTCATATTTATTTATTTATTTTCGTTGTTCTTTTTGTGTGTGTGTATGCGTTCTTTTCCCCTTTTTCCCCAGTTTTTCATTGTATTTTTGATTTTTCACATGAATACCTGTTAGATTACTCTATTAAACTCAGTATTATATTCACTTGATATAGTTTACTTGAATCTTCTCATTGATGGTTAGTATTGTAATGGATCAATCTTTTATTAGCTGACGATTTCTAAATAGGACGAAACGTACGTCCTGGATTTCACTGCTAAACACTATCCATCTTCGGCATTATATTGTTTTAATTTTGATGATAAACATAGTTAACATTATGAATATTTACTGATTTTATTTATAGAATATAACAAGTATACACACAATATGTATGTACATAAAATTAATATTTCTGATGTTGTGGATTAGTTAAGTTTTAGTATTAACAAAACGTACATTATAAGTGTAACAGGGAAGAAGATTTATGTTATGTGCACTTTTCAATTACATACAATATTCATTTTTGGTTGAAGACACAAATTGGGTGAAATTAATTGTATGAACATGTTTTCTATTTTTTTTGTTGTTGTTGAAGAGAATAATGAATAAAAATATTAGTATTTAGAATTTTTTCTAGATCGAAGGTCATGGCTTCGAATCCTGCAGTCTAACACGTGGATGTGAACTTCTGGGGAGTCCCATAGTAAAACAAAACGATCTATGAGTGCTTCTCAGGTTTTCAATGATGGTCTAGGTACAATCAGTTTGTGACTTAGTATTGTGGGAATAACGAATTAGTCAGTCTTTTGATGTTTATCAGTTATGAGCTGTTCTATCTATCTATCTACCTATCTACCACATTAAATTGAATAATCTTCGCGAACCATATGACTTGATATTTCCATTGGTGTAGCGAAAATATTACATTTGAAAGCTTTAGCTTTTCAATACTACATAAATAAGATAAAATGTTTTGATTTTAAAGTAGTTGGATTTGTTCATTGCAACTGTTATAACTTTTTAAAAAAAATAAACAAATATACTCTTTTGTTTGTTTTAAAGTTAATATCATTCTCTTCTTCGTTCACCTTTCCTGTTTTACAGTATGCGTGATGTGGATTCAATGCTAGAACTAGGTTTATATTTAAATGATTTGAGTATGCATGATTCTAGCCGTGATATGGTATTGGCTGGTGAACAACAGTCGGCTGAACTGAAATTAGCACTGGAACAGGTAAATCGAAATTATGTCATTTTGATAAATGCTTGAATATAATTGCTACTACTACTACTACTACTACTACTACTACCACTACTACTACCACTACTACTACCACTACTACTACTACTACTACTACTACTACTACTACTGTGATATGTGTTACTGATGTCGACAGATATAAGTAGTATGGATCACCAATCGAAAGTGGAATGCCTGGAGGCAGAAGGTTGAGAAAATCGAAGAGAAGAGAACAAGAACAAAGTGTGATTGGTGTGGAAACGAAGGGACAATAAAGTCTGACACAGCTGATGGGTAGTTTGCAAATGAAGTATTAGTTGTACAGTCCTCAGATTTTACTAAAAGATTCTGTAATGTTGCATATGGTTGTCCCAGCCTTTGTTCTCGTTCACTACACTACTACTGTTACTGTTATTACTGTTAGCTGAATAATTTTCGCTTAGTCTGAATAAAGGGGAAAATATCTGTTAAACCAGAAATGCCCAACAATAAAATGGGTCTCATTATATCTACCTAGTAATTTGCATAAATCAGAAATACTACTTATTTGTTTACTGTAATGGACAGTAACATTTTTAAAAGTATTATGTATGTTGATTATTCGGAAAAACAATATTTTATTTCTGTTTTTTTTAAATTGTTATGCAACCTTACTATTAGTAGTTTGGGTTATTTTGGTAGTTCAGTAGTTAAGTATTCAATTTTCAACCGCCAAGTCCCAAGTTTGAAACCCGACTCCTTTGATTCACTTTAGTCAGCTGAATAGCATCATTGGCTTTAACCCCAGAAAAGTGTTACCTGTAACCATGTAACCATAAATGTGTATTTAGTAAATGAATCATTTTAATACGATGTCCATTAGTTATATTATTATGGTGGTGATATCTAAAAGCATATTCATTATCAATATTTTACCAAAATATCAGTCATCAAAGTTATGACAATCTGTAAACTGAATGATTTGAACTAAAGGCCAAATCTCTTTGAAAGTCATCAATAGAATTAAACAAACTAGTGTTGTATCTATCTGTCTTATTACGGATGGTAATCTTAATTCTAATTACAGAAGTTGATTAAGTTTCATCAATCAATTGAAAAATTAGTATATATCGGAGATCTGATGATATAACTCATTCGCATTAATAAATTGTTTTATGAAACATTAGCAAAAGTTCAAATCAGCTTTCCCCATACAACATGTGACTTTACTGAATGTTCATATTTGATATATTTCACTATCGAAATCAGGCTCTTTATACATCAAAATGAAAACGTTTGATTAGAACTACTGCTATAGTTCCTACTGAGATATATTTCAGCTATGAATAAGATCATAGTCTAGTACTATTTTGCTGTTACCAAGGATTTTTAATTTCCCGTTGTTGATATTTATGGTTGAAATCGACTAGTCTCTGATGTCATACGTTTAGTCTGAGCGGATTGTTTCGTCTTCATCATTTACTTGTGAGTTTTAAAATATCTGATATGTAATTATCGGTGGGTGTTTGGAGTGAACAGTCTGAGTTCGAGTCTCAATGTGGATATTAACACTGGTATATAGTTACATTCAAACGATGCGTCCTGAACAGGACGAAAGGTTCCTCCCGATTTCCACTGGTATCCAGATACCAAATTTATTAATAGACTGTTTAATTTCTATCTCACTCTGTGATTTCAATTATTAATGAAAATTAAAATTAACTATTTTTAATCTAATAAAATACGGAGATCTGAAAGTTTTTAAGCGTTAAGTATATCCTACTATTGAGTGTTTAACAAATAAACATATTACATATTCTTTGTTTTGTGTGATTTATACCATACAGATACTTAAAGACAACACTAATTGTTTTTTGTTTATAGGAAAATGAAAAAAGCAAACGATTGGAAGAAAGTTTAAGAAGATTAGACGAAGAAATGAGAAGAACTGATGAATTATTATATCAGATGATACCACGTTCTGTAGCTGAAAGGCTTAGAGCTGGTGAAGCTGCAGTAGATACTTGTGAAGTATGTGGTTCTGAAACTGATTTGCATTTATATTATTAAATAGCCGGTCTTACATAATAACAAGTTCTTTCGGCAGTTCACGCTGAGTGTCTTGATGAATACTCAATCTAGGTTTTGAATGTTGATGAAAAAATACAAATGAAATGATCCAGATATTGCTTTCAATAATTGAAGAAACCAATTTGTTTTTTAGCGTACAATCACAGTGATTTAATGAAATTTGAAAATCGCATATTAAATATATCATTTAAACGTCTTCGAATCGTCTCTTACAAGCTTCATTGTTCCATCATTCTTGTTGTTATCTTGGTTACTTTCAGTTTTTTTCTCTCTTCTCTTCATTTCAATCTTCTCAAACTTCTGCTCTGAGACATTTCACTTCCGACAGGTGTTACATACTACTCATGTCTGCGAACATAAGTAGCATACACCACACTCGTCCTCCCTTTAAACAGTCGTTCCTATGGTTGTTGTACTCTCCGTGCCTCTTTATTCTTCCCCGTAATCTGTGTCACGCTTCTCGTCAAAATGTCTAGTCCACCAATGCGCTGGCTTTCGTATCTCCGTCGACCTGCCAGGCCATTCAAATCTGATTTCCATCAAACACCCGAGACGTTCAACACCTGCGTTACAGTGAACCATCTAGCTATCTACATCCAATGTCCGCCCAGCAGCCACATGTTCCACTGGTTCCGTCGGCGGCAACTACTACAGCCAACACTGACCCGTCAGAGCACTTCACTCAACGTTGTCTCTTCCAAAGTCGAAAAACATTGAATGATGGTGATCTAATTAAAACCTCATAAGCTTTTAGGTTCAATTTTCTAAGATGAAATTAGTTTTTAGTAAACGGAAACATTATTTATTATCGTTTCTTGGAATTTCAAACGCTATCAATAATCACAGATAGGTAAAAAAACTTCTTTCTAAATCACTCTTATGTATTTACGAGATCACTATTTGTCTGATATACATTTACTATTTGACCTTTGTTCAATTACAAATATAACACATTTTATTTTAAGCATTTTTAAAAATAATTATCTTGATTTTCAGTTTTCAGTGAATAAATGACTTCATTCTAAGCATAGGAAATTATTATTCCTTGATTCGATAGAGTTCAGAGTTAATTTTCACCATAAACTTACATCATCTGTTGAATCATTGAAAATCTAGGAGTACTGAATAGCTATTTCTTCCTAAGTTGGAATATTTTAGCAACACACATGGATCTAACTCAGAATATTCATTCGTCATGATGTAGGTTATACAGCTGAGTTGTTGGCTGTAAATTGAAAGTTAGCTCTATATTACGAATTAATTGAAATATTAAATGAGCACTATTAGATTTAAACTTAATAGTGTAATTGTTATTAAGATACCTGAAGGTTCCATGTTCACTTTCATGTAAGGTAGTAAGTTTATACTTCTTGAAAGTCACAAATTAAGAAAAACAGCGACCGAATACTCCCTGGTAATCAGTTTATCATATCATGTTATCATGACTCAAATATCAAGTCAATTCTACCTGTAAAATTCCAAATGTATCTATGAAGCTAAACAGTTTGACATCTCAGTGCAATGACTTCGAATTTTATTTGAATAAAGAAATCAAACTTGATTCATATGAACATGGTTTCTATTCCATAGACGATAAATTTTTCTGTACTTTGACAAACATCAAATGTTACATAGTTACAAATAGTAGGCAAGATGAATTGAAATGGCTAGCCAGAAATTATAACCGAGTTTGTAATAATGAGTGGTATGTAGTCCGAATCCTCAAAAAGATATATACTTATTTAAGGTTTTACGTATACTTTGTTGACAAATAAAAACAAGTAAGAAATTCACTTTTGGAGTGTTTTCCATATTTAATTTCAGTATTTAGCATTAATTTATCAGACGTGATCAGTCTTTATAATTTAAGTAGTATCTGTAAATGAGTGTCATTTAGAGTAAGATTTATAGCGTATAGTAACTTCAAAATTATAAAGAGTAGTAACAAAGTATAAGGGTTTTTAACTATTTTAATGGAATATAAGATAATAATTTGTTACAAGCATATGCTTACAAACAGTACAAATTATTAGTGTCCATATTGAAAACATTATCTTTGTTCTATTCAAGACTTCCCAGATTGATGTACTTTCATGATAATACGTTTTGATGTTTGAGATCATGAATCAGTTAAAGCTAGAGCACTATGGAAAGTCTGGAAGCACTGGACGGCCGTTTCGTCCTATTGAGGGACTCCTCAACAGTGCGCAGTGACTAGTAGAGTTCAATCAGATCAGTTGTGAGATTGTAACTCACTGATGACAATTATGGATGTGTCGCTTAATTTCGTGAATTAGTTGAAGTTAGACATTAACACCATTGGATGCCGGTCGGTTCAGTGGCCTAATGGTCAAGCACTCACACGCGAGGCCGATAGGTCCTGTGTCCGAATCTCATGGAGGGGGTAATCGTGGATGCGCACTGCTGGGGAGTCGCACAATAGGACGAAACGGCCGTGCAGTGCTTCCTGGTTTTCCATGGTGGTCTATCTTCAATTGACTTATGATCTCAACTACTGAAATTTCTAACGAATCTCCACAAAACCCCTTCATATATTTGAGGCAATAAATTTAATTGATGATTATTTAACGATTCCGAACAGATGTAAAAATTAAAATATCCAGATTGGGTAGACCACATGGTGTACTTTTTATAGCATGTGGTTTAATTGCTTAAATCTGGGAAAAGGATTTCACTGAGAATTTTTGTGATATCATGTGACTTTTGAAATCATAATGCGTTTATTATGGTCTAATTTATTGTCCATTAGATTTCGATTCAGAGTAATGTACGAATATTTGTTTACTAAATGCATTCTTTGTATCAGTTTCATAAAAGCAAGTGAATTTGTAAATGTAAAATGAGAGGGTCCAAAATGTTACTTAATTCATAATACTTCCTTGAATAAGGTATTTACTGGAGAAAACAAATTGGAGCACTGCTGAATAAAACATATTTCTCAGAAATCTGTTATTTAGTATCTCAATAGCTATATCCCTCTTGAATTGAATGTTCATGAATAAAACTTTATTCACAATTACGGGAGTACTTACAGCTTGATGTTTTGATTTTATATAACTAAAATATAAATAATAATTAGGATTGTTTTAAGTTTGCTTCTTTTCTCCAAATAAAATTCGTAAATGTTTCATTGGAATTGTTTATTTTATTAATTATTTCGTCTGTTTTTTTCTTTGTAATGTAGACATTCGATAATGTCACCCTGTTATTAAGTGATGTAGTAGGATTTACAACAATATGCAGTGGTCTTGCACCATTGGAAGTTGTAAGTCTACTTAATAAACTTTATTCAGTATTCGATGGACTTACAGAAAAACATAAAGTTTATAAGGTAAGATGAGAATTATTTTATTTTATAAATAATAACTTTAGGAGATAGTTTTTATTTATAAAGGCTAATGAAATAGTGAATTTTTTTGCACTGGAACTATAACAATAGTTTTGAGTTTCTTTAATACTTTTGGTTCTTGTGAAGTCAGTTGGATATTGTCTTTCTTCTGTTGAGTAAGAAATACTATGGTTTTATTTTATTTCCTGTTGAGTTTCTTCACTTATTCTGGAAGTTTTGAAGCGTCACTTGTATTGTAATTTAATCCTTTTAGGAGGTGTTGTCCTATGTTTGTTAGTGATTGCTTTGACAGGTTGACCACGCGGTTTTTTGTGTTTTCTTCCGTGGATGGTTTTGAAATCTTGATTAGTTTTTTTTTCTTTAGGGTGTTTCTTCATTGTTCTCTGTGTCGTTTGCATGATATCTTGATGGCTGTTGTTAAGATTTCCAAATGTGATTGAAACTGAATAAAATTCTATATCATACAGTTATTCTAATAACTTGTATAACGTTCTTGTTCAGATGAATTTAATTCAAGCTTATTAACAGTTCTTTATATAAAATTACATTTGTTGAGCTGTATATCTATACATGAATTGTTGTAAAAAGAGCCATGACTTGCAGAGTTAAACGTTCAGATGGTTTTTATCTTTAGTTTTCAAACATTTTGACTGTTTTGAAATTTGACTTTTGGGTTATGTAGTGTAGGTTTAACTAGCTGAGTTGTTAATATAGCCTTTACACTATGAATATAACTCGAATTCATATAAATAAATTTATAGTTAGACATTGAATTGAATCATCAACCTAATACTATGGTATCTAATTCCTATGATCACCTATTGATAAGTGTTCAAATAGAATACAAGGAATCGATTAGGTATTAGTGCTTTATGTAACAGGATAAACATTAAAATAGACACTTTTAATTAGATTAATGTCAAATTTTATGTTCATTGCAATTTTTACTTAAGTAATTAATAAACTATATGTATCTAAAGATAAGTATCAGAAGGGGTTTTGTGGAGATTGTAGTAATTTCAATAGTTGAGATCATAAGTCAATTGAAGATAGACCAACATGGAAAACCAGGAAACACTGCACGGCCGTTTCGTCCTATTTTGGGACTCCTCAGCAGTGCGCATCCACGATCCCACCCCACGGGATTCGAACCTAGGGCCGATTAGTCTCGCGTGTGAGCCCTTGACAACTAGACCACTGAGCTGACCGGCATCCAACGATGTTAATGTCGAACTTCAATTAATCCACGAAATTGAGCGACACATCATAATTGTCATCAGTGAGTTACTACCTCACAACATACCTGGCTGAACTCCACTGGTCACTGCTTCTCACTAGAACTATAGGATATATCTCTTGAAGCCAGTCACTAGTGAGCATATGTTGATTAGTATCAGAAGGGTTTTTGTGGTGATTGTAGTAACTTTAACAGTTGAGATCATGAGTCAATTGAAGCTAGACAACTTATTGTTATCCCAGTAAACTATTGAAAACTAAAGAACTGTTGCGGACGATAGATCCCCAAAACTCATATTTTTTAATTTTATCTTATCGATCAACTTATCGATTAAATGTTAAATAGCGGTCAATTAATGAACTCATTGATTAATGTTTAAAAATTTTCCATGACAATATCGATTGTAAATATCTGTATAAATACGCTTGATTGTGTGCTTGACCCGACTTGTTATCTGCTATTTGTCTGTAGAATACACTTTCTACACCTTACCCAGATTTCTTGATCGGGTTAGCAGGGCCGGGAACAACGAACCAGAATAGCTATCGAGTTGCTGAATCATTGATCCTTCGTTCCGTTCGAGTAAGACGCATCAGTAATAGCATTCAAGTCTAACGAATCATAACAAGAATATTAAACAGTTATATCTTTTTCCAGTTTGGGATTTTCAGCTTTACTTACATACTAATCACAACAAATCATATTATGAATTGACTGAAATTCTTTGATTAAATCTCGTACTTTTGAAAAACGTCTCAAACTATAACAAAAAACATTTAGCTATCTAGTGATAACTAGTTTTTTGAATTCAATGAGGGAACTATGGTAACTCACTTATCGATATGTTTACACGTAGTAATTAATAATAAATTTTAAAAAGGTTCTTATGATAAATCATTGGATTATTTATAGTAAGTTAAGTGGTACTTAGAAACTGTTTTTATTTTACGAATATTTTGTAATATAAAACAATCGAACTCATTTAAATTAAAGATCCATGGAGTTTTATAGATGAGTATTTTTATATTTTGAATGCACTAATGTTATCCTGTGGTTTTCATCAATGAATTAATGTGAAATTAGTTCTTACTAAATGTTAGTTTCTAAACTTATGATAAGCTCCGTTTCTCTAATTAATGGAATATTAAGGGATGATAACAATAAATTACTTTAGGTTAACTGAAAATAAAAGAACTTTCGGACCTAAAATAATCCAGTATAATGGTCAAGTAAAATCATTGTGAAACCTCAACTTTATGGGTAAATGTATCCAAATTGAGAAATCATATAATAAAATTAAAATTATTTGGTATTAATTATCTAAAAAGATGAAATAAAGATAAACAGGAAACTTGAATTAATTATCTTTTAAATGTTTTATGAATTGATGAACTCAAGGGACGTTTGAGAACTGTTCATACTAGAACATTGTGATTCACTACTTAGAGAAATAAATGAACATGACATTAGTCTCTATTCAGTGATCAGTCAATTGTAGATAAATCTCAGTTTTACAAAAGATCGATCAATGTCCAGATAGCTCAGGAGTAACATCTTTGACTGTGAAGTTGGGTGACGAGGATTCAGATCTCACAGTGGGAATTAGTTCTTTCAAGATTATGGGTACGTCCTGTTGATTAGTGCCAAATAACAGGAAAACTAAATTAGGCTGGTTTCTCTCTTAACTACTGTCAGCCACCTAACGTCACTATCTTATGTCTTGTACACTTTAAGTTTTTTAATTATCCATTTAGTGTACTTTTTAGAGTGAATTTTGTCTTATAAAATGTAGCACTGTTCATCTATCAGTAAAAAAGCTTATATCCTCATACTATTTTTATCAGATATAAGAGAAAGCAACATCAGAATAAGGAAATATTACTAAAAAGATATTTTGTAAGAATTCCGTTAAAAAAACAAACAAACATAGGAATGTTTGTTGGAAGGGTAGTAAATTTTTCAAACATGAAATCACCAGGCACTTGATAGATGATTAATAGACAGAATACGAACATCTGTAAAAGATTTAAAATAATTGACAAGCAGTTATTGCCAATTTTACTTCATTTTACATAGGGAATAACAAACTATAACGAAAATTGCCGACTAGATCTATGTATGCGGAAGAGAAATGAGAAAAACCATTCTTTTTTATCATGAGGATAATAATTGAAATCACTTAAAGTTTTATTTCAACCATAAATTTATTGATGTTCAGTTAGTGACTTGATTTTGTTTCTAGCTTATTTTCATCTATTATAAACCCGTTTTATTGGTAACATTTTCACTACAAATACGGAGTGATTTTTTTCATCATAGTCACTATTAGGAATTACAACATTACAATTACAACAACGCGCCCTCAAATGCCCTGGTACGGCCGAGAGTGGGGAGAGTCCGCTCGCGCTCTCGAAATGCTCTCACATGGCCACGCGTATATAGCCTCTTCCCGGGAAGGTCTACTCACTGCATTCTCGTGGCGGGGGTGTTGTTTGCGAAATTGAGAGGACGAAAAGCGAATGTCCGGCGCTTCATCCGGGTTGGTGAACATGGAGAGTCCACTTAGGGGAGTTGGAAAACCCTCATTCCAAACCAATGGTTCACATGGGCTGCAGTATCCTAAAGGAATAAATGCGTATGAACCAATCGTTGGTCACTGGCTACCATGAGAATGCATCTCCTTACGTTCCTCTACTGCCTTGTGGATCAGACCTTCATGTCGAAGGCTCCGGGTGTGACCCCCATAAGGAAACCACCTGTTTCGGTTTTGGCACCCGAGCAGTATCACAGCCCTCAAACATATCAAATGAGATTTGTGTGGCGCATATGTGTTTGGTGCCTCCTTGTACCAATATCTATGTGTTAAAATAAATAAAATAATACAACATTACCCGTATTATATAATATTGTTTTCTTAACAAACAAATAACTCACTGATGACAATGGTGGATGTGTCGCTCAATTTCGTGAATTAGTTGAAGTTAGACATTGAAATCGTTGAATGCCGGTCGGTTCAGTGGTCTAGTGGTCAAGCACTCACGCGCGAGGCCGATAGGTCCTGTGTCCGAATCTCATGCGTGGTGGGATCGTGGATGCGCACTGCTGAGGAGTCCCACAATAGGACGAAACGGCCGTGCAGTGCTTCCTGGTTTTCCATGATGGTCTATCTTCAATTGACACATCCACCATTGTCACCAGTGAGTTATTTGTTTGTTAAGAAAACAATGTTACATAATACGGGTAATGTTGTATTATTTTATTTATTTTAACACATAGATATTGGTACAAGGAGGCACCAAACACATATGCGCCACACAAATCTCATTTGATATGTTTGAGGGCTGTGATACTGCTCGGGTGCCAAAACCGAAACAGGTGGTTTCCTTATGGGGGTCACACCCGGAGCCTTCGACATGAAGGTCTGATCCACAAGGCAGTAGAGGAACGTAAGGAGATGCATTCTCATGGTAGCCAGTGACCAACGATTGGTTCATACGCATTTATTCCTTTAGGATACTGCAGCCCATGTGAACCATTGGTTTGGAATGAGGGTTTTCCAACTCCCCTAAGTGGACTCTCCATGTTCACCAACCCGGATGAAGCGCCGGACATTCGCTTTTCGTCCTCTCAATTTCGCAAACAACACCCCCGCCACGAGAATGCAGTGAGTAGAACTTCCCCGGAAGAGGCTAGGGAAGTCCTACTCGCATAATATTCTTGTTGTTTCGTTGTACTACTTAAACTTGGTTTAATTTTGACTTAGTTGTTTATTCTCTGAAGAAGTGACTTACATCGAGTCACGAAACGTCAGAAAATCTAATTTTTCTACTCATTAGGATATTATAAATATACTAATTAATCCATAACAATCTATCCAATACTCAGTTTAATCGAAATTATCAAATCAAACCTACAAAAATCAGTCAAATTATATGAAATATACAATCTGTTAATTATTATTTTAACATTGAGAGATGTAAAGTATAGAAAGTGAATTATTTTTTCTCTTCTTTACGAAAACTATTAAAACTACTTTATATTTTGAAAGGCATCTTTTTTCTCTTTTTTAGTGTTCATCAGTTGTTATTAGATGATTTCAATAGAAATTGACATTTATGACTAGTGTATATGAAAATATACATATTTTAGTGAATGACTTATATTGTCTACGTTGAATATACTTTTCAATATCCTTCACGTGATTTTCTATCAGAATATAATGATTAGCTTAGATTGGGTGATAATGTTTATTTCCTTTCTGTTGACTACAAACTGAAGTCAATATATATATATTTATTTATTTATATACATTTATGATAATTGAAAGTATTTATGAACAATTAATTGCTTACTGGTTGAAATCATGAGTCAATCGAAGCTAGACCACCATGGAAAACCTGGAAGCACTCTTAGGCCGTTTCGTCCTAGTACGGGACTCCTCAGAAGTGCGCATCCACGATCTCGCCCCCCCCCGCGAGATTCGAATTCAGGATCAATTAACCATTAGACCACTGAACCGACCGGCATCCAACGATGTTAATGTCTAACTTCAACCAATCTACGAAGTTACGGCACCGTACACCATTGTCTTCAGAGAGTTGATATCTCACAACAGACCTGGTTGAACTCCACTGGTCATGGCTTCTCACTAGCACTGCTGAGGCGTCTCATATTGGAACGAGACGGCCGTCCAGTGCTTCCAGGTTTTTCATGGTGGTCTAGCTTCAATTGACTTAGGATTTCAACCAGTGAAATTTCTAAAATCTCCACAAAACCCCTTCTGATAATTAATTACTTATTTAATTAATAAAATTTGAACTTGAAAGTATGATGTTCTTTGATACTTATGTAGTTATTTCTTGTAATGTTCTTCTTGAAGATAACAATTAGTTTATTAGTGAAATGTTTATTATCGATGTTCACCTTTGAATAAGTGTCACGATAAGAATTTAAACAGCTGATTGATTTTCAGTTAGTCTGTGAAGGCGATATCATTTAAACATTGAACTATTTTATAGGAATATAGGAAAAGTCAGTTGATGATGGTTTTGTAGTAAGAGGGATAAATATGTTTTTAGTTATAATTTCTATTAACATATTCAAATTATTTGTTAGACTTCACCTGAAAAACATTTTGGTTCTGGACTGAAATCTACTTTGTAAGTATTTAGAGAAGGTGATTAGTAAAATAAACATTCAATACTAGTTTAACAATCTATGGTAATGTTAAATATTTGTTTCAGTAAAGAGAAATGTCAGTTCCCCCAGTCACTATTATATTATCGATTCAATGAAATGGAAAGAGTGATCTACATTCTGAATCTTAACTAATTTTTAATATAGATTGATTGTCAAGAAATATTTTAATAAGTTACTGTCTTACTTCATAGATCTTAGCTTCCAACAAGAGGTCTGAGAAATCCTCGTGACATATGATTTTTACTGGGAGTAGCAAACATCAGCTCGTGATTCACATACAAATGTATTAAAAAAACCATCTGTCTTGATATTATTTATTAAGTGAATGATCATTTCTTAAAATTAGGTTGAAACGATTGGTGACGCTTACATGATTGCATCAGGATGCCCTTCACGTACAGATTATCATGCCCCATTTATTGCTGAGATGGCACTCGATATGGTTGAATCAGTTCAAACAGTTAAAGATGAATCTAAGGAACCACCAGAAAGTTTACGAATACGTGTTGGTAAGTCAAATAACTAGATTGTCTTTGTAGCGTTTTTTCTCAAACAATTTGATTTTTAATTAGTGAAAGAAAATCAATTTTTATTAATGATGGTTCCGTTTGTTTTACCGTTCAGATTTATTGTTACAATGATCGATACAAAAATGTAACCATTGTACCATTTGTATCCTAGAATGCAAAAATGTAACAGTATTTACCATTGAATTAACAGACTTATTTATTATACGGTTGGAGGAATTTCATAGAAGGTATTATATTTCATATATCTATTACTAGTTGAAATCCGTCAGAAATAATGTGTCTATTAGCATCAAGTTCATTCCCTTTAATGTTCAATTCAGTGATTTTATCACTGTACCATTCGGCTAGTTTTTAGTATCTTGTGTAGATAAGACATACTTACTAATTGATTGCTTAGTAGTAAACAATTCCGCATTGTTTAGTTAGTAATGTTGATCAAAATCTTTCGTCAATGCAGTTATAATAGAATCACTGAAATAAATTCATAATAAATATACTTCTCATAATTCAAATGTTAATAATAACATCAAATAGTTCATTCTATTTGTTTTGAATTTCTTAAATAAAATAGGAAATATAACCAGCATATAATACAATATTATTAAATAATTGGCCGAAATTATTATTTAATTTGACTCATCGATTTTCTATTGTAATCATGATCTGATCTAAGTAAGACTGACAATGGAAATCAAAAATCACTGGACAGCCGTTTCGTCCATATATGGGGTTCCTCAGCAGTGGACATCCATGACTCCGTACGGGAGAATCAAACACAGGACCTTCAGTTTTGCGCTCAAACACTTAATCTCCATGGTAATGAGTTGGTATCTAATGATGTTAGTGTCTAGCTTCAATCAATCCCACGACATTGCGCAACCATCTTTCATTGTCGTTGGTAGGTAACCGCTTCACTCCCAACACGGATTGATTTCCCTGGCCACAGCTTCTTACTATAACTATGGAACTTTCCTCTCAAATCTAGTCACTAGTAAGCACACTATTGTTCTAACTTAAATCAGTTCATTATTTCAATGAAGTTCAACAACTTTTATGTCTTACTGACAATTATCAGTTTTTGATAGTATGTAGTGATCATTGGTACACTTAAATAACTAAACGACATCATTACAATAAAAAAGAAATCTCTATAAATTACTGTATTCACTTTTTAAAAAAGTAGATTGTTAGGATAAAATAATATGAATACTAAATGGTACTGAATTTCTTTATGATCACTTAATGAATGAAAGAATAAATAACATAATATACAATTTGAAAGATATTTAACAAAATAAATGGAATGAACAACAACTGCATAAACAATAACAAGAAAGAAAGAACGTAGGAACAACAAGGAAACTATAAAAATAAGCTTTTTTGTGTGTGTGTGTGTTTCACTAATTAATTTGGATTTTTTTCACTGATTACCAGGGTAGTTTCATTAAATTGAAACTGAAAATTATACATTTTATTCTTTTACCTCTTTCCATTTACAAATACATATTCCATGTTGACTTTTTAAATTGAATAAGCTTTCTGTTCATTTGAATCTAGGTAAGTTAGTTCTACGAGCTTATTAGTTTACGAAGTGTGATTATACAACAATATTAAACAATGGTTAAGATTCCGTCCTAAATATCATCAGTGGATCATTAAAAAATTCTTATTAATATTGATATAGAAACTATACCAGTTAAGTAGGTTAATGGGTATCTGAACTTAAAAGCTCAATGGATACTGAGTTGAATGTTGCAATCAAAATATAATGAGTTCAAGTCATAATCTGAACATTTATACATGCCCAGTTGATGAGCCCTAAGTGGGACGAAACGTAATCATAATCTGTGTTTGCTTAACAGATTCTGTTGTAATATTAATTAATGCAAAGGAACGAAGAAAATTCTTTTCAATAATTTCTCATCAGGTTCTACAATTAGAAATCCAAATTAATAATCCATAAAATTGGCCAGATTTAAGGCAGAGTACATCATTCGGAAATTGTAATAGGTGAATCAAGAGTTGTTGTTTGTCATATCAAATCAAATCAAATCGTTAATGTTGGGGCTGACTAGTATGAAGTTTTTTTACTTCAATCAATTTACAAGCGAAATGAAATTGTGAGATAAATGATAGGAATAAGTATGATCAACATGGGGTGAGAGAGAGAATAATGGAATAAAAATCAGAAATTACGTAATATGTATGATATATTGGCAGATGTTCTAGGAATTTGTACATTTTGGCTCGTGAGCACCTCCCAATGTGGTTAAGCAGAGGTGTAGTCGAAACGGTTAACAGCTCCATTTTGATCCATTTAATTCAGATGGGATATACAGCCAACATGGAGCAATCTTTCACAATAATATATTGTGTTAACAGCAGTCTACCTAATTCAGTCAGACTAAGAATCCTATAGACGGCCGAAGCAATTGCTATTCGGATAAAAAAGTCAGTGCTTTGCATCCAAAAGAAATATGTTCAGCCGCTCCTTTTTACCCTGGCCAACTAGTTAATAATCAATTTTATAATATGGTGATGTAATTTGATTAATGTTCATTTTAATGTCCCAAACTTATCTTACCATTATTATTATTATTATTATTATTATTATTGTCTTTATCATTCTTATTACTATTACACGTGATAACCGTTTTGAGATATTTATTCAGCATCCAACCCTTATCTATTATATCTGACCTAATTCATATTATTCTACATATTACGTAATTTCTGATTTCTATTCCATTATTTTCTCTCTCACCCCATGTTGACCATATAAACTGATTCAAGTTAACACTTCATATTAATCAGCCCCAAGATGAACGACTTGTTTCATACACATAGTTGCCTTTGTCATTTTGAAAAGAGCAAGAACAAAGATTCTAGCAGAATAGCATGAATTCATTTTATTTCGTAGGTTCTCGTCAGCTGCTTACAACCTGTGATATTTAAAAATCATAATTACATAATGGGTTTGATTTGATATGACAAACAACAATTCTTGATTCATATATTACAATTTTAAATGATGTATTTTGCCTTAAATCTGGCCAATTTTATGGATTATTAATTTGGATTTCTAATTGTAGAACCTGATGAGAAATTCATTGGAAAGACCATTCTTCATTCATATTAATTGTGTTTTAATGCAAATGATCCATACTGTACAATATCTAGTAAAATTAAAAAATTCTTTTGAAGATAGCATAGATTTTACCAACCAATTCTCATCATATTGGATAGACTTCAGAGATTTGCCAAACCTCCATGTATATACGATTGTTTCGTATTATTTTCAATACAGATTCGACAATATGTAGGTGTTATATGACATGAATAAGATCGATTTCTAAATAATTTTCTTGCTTCAAATAAAGAATGAACTACATAAAGATAATGACAGTAAGCATATCATTTTGATTACATTCTATAATAAAACATTGTCATTTGAATCCAGTGTTCCATACCAACTAGTCTTTGATCTTTAATTGTGGTTTAACAGGAACTTCCTTCAAGGTCATATTTGCCAGGATTTAAGATATGAATGTAAAAATCTGAATTCAACGGGAATTGAAAATCTCATCGGTCCTAGAAAGGAACCTAAATATTTCGCTCTGACAATTAATTGTCATTGCATAAGTAACAATATCGTCATCAAGATTTTTAGCAGTCATAGAATATCGAAGATTTCACTCTGGTTGTTGTATAGTGTTATTAAAATCTAAATTATATGGGAAACATTGACGTGTATTTTCTTTGCTTTATTTGTTTCACTTCATTTATTGAGAAAAATAGATTTCATACAATCTTCAATCTTGCTTAAAGTTTCGTTTCTACAAAGATCTTTATTCCAATATGCATGATCATGCATTTAAATGAAATTCAATGATGTCATACTTCACGATTTTAAGTTTTCAACATTGTTAAAGTGTTATATGATCTGTAATTTCTATGTTATACTATTCTGTTCAAACTAACAATGTTAGGCATCATAGTATGATGTGATATACAAACCAATTCAATTATTAAATTATGTTTATTCTATTTGATCAATCTCCAAAAATTGAAGAACATAAAGTTTGCTTGAACATTTATTCGATGATTGTTTAGATCATCAATGGAAGATAATGATCAATCAACAATTGTTTTTTCTCTAATACGGGACTCCTTAGGTGCTGCTGAAGTCGTTCTGCAATGTAAATTATCAATTTCTCTCTAGATCGTTTGATGTAAGTCATTGGATTCACTTAATCAAAGGATATAGAAGTGCTGTGTCTGTTGATATGGTTTCTGATGGGTTACAGAATTTCTACCAACCATTTTGTAATTGCATGGTATGAAGAGTTAGTCCTATTTACCATGGGACGAAGAGGAACATAGGACCAAGATATATATATATATATATATATATATATATATATATCATGTAGTTAAACTAACCTTAATTATACCATAGTCGGTAATGGTTATAAGCTCAATGGATAATTCATTCCTTTTTTATACCTTGACACAGCACTCATGCTTGTACTGACATACATTAGGACGTTGATTAATTTGAATACAAAATAACAAAAACAAAAACAGAACAGTTAATTTTTGATAAGGTAACATTCATTTATCATTTTAGAAATTCATCAGTTAATAAAGTGGAGAACGATTTATATATTTCATGTTTTTCCAATGGTATTGCTTTTCAATAGTTGAAATCATGAGTCCAGTGAGGCTAGACCACCATGGAAAACCTGGAAGCACTCTAAGGCCGTTTCGTCCTATTGTGGGATTCCTCAGCAGTGCGCATCCGCGATCTCGCCCCCCGCGAGATTAGAATCCAGGACCTATCAGTCTCGCGCGCGATCACTTAACCATTAGACCACTGAGCCGACCAGAATCCAACGGCGTCAATGTCTGACTTCAACCAATCTACGACGTTGCTCCACCATACACCATTGTCTTCAGAGAGTTGGTATCTCACAACAGACCTGGTCGAAGTTCACTAGTAACGGGTTCTCATTAGAACTCCAGGAAATGACTGATAGGTCCTGGGTTTGAATCTCGCGGGGGGCAGGATCGTGGACGCGCACTACTGAGGAGTCCCACAATAGGACGAAACGGCCTTAGAGTGCTTCCAGGTTTTTCATGATGGTCTATCTTTAATTGACTTATGATTTCAACCATTGAAATTTCTAAAATTCTCCACAAAACCCCTTCTGGTATTGTTTTTATTTAAAAAAATATTCATCTATTTATGTATTTAGGTGTACATTCAGGTCCAGCCGTTGCTGGTGTTGTAGGTGTAAAAATGCCACGTTATTGTTTATTCGGTAGTACAGTTACAACATCGGAACTAATGGAACAAACTAGTTCAGTAAGTTATTATATTTTCTTGCACGAAATGAGTAAAGAGATAAAAGTATATGCACTTGTATGCATGTATGCACGCACATAGTTTACGATTTACTGACTTCAATAACGACTGTTAAATTAAGTGTTGATATGCTAAGTGCAAAGCAAAAAATTTTTTAACATGATCTGATATATTAGAGGAATTTTATTCACAAGGCAGTTGAACACAACATTAGACAACCGAAACAACAATGAGACCTTGTCAAAACCTGGGTTATAAGGTTATGGTGAAGGATTGCTAAGGTCGGCAGTCTGAAGATCACTCGTTCATATTCAAGTTCAAGCTTAGATTTTCACTTTACCTTCAATTATTATCATAGTATCAGTTTTGTAGATGGTTTGAAAATATTCTTTCAACTTTCTATTTACAGTTTTGTAATGCACATTATTCAAGATGTTAAAACTCAGTATAACTTACAGTGTTTGCTTATTGTTACTAATAAATAAGTATAAAAGGCAAAAGGAATAGTATGTTTTTTTTCAATATTAAAAGTTTACATAAGATAGATTCTGATTTAGGTATCATTCAGTCTTTGAGATTCAAAGTTCTTAGATTGTAATAGACTGTAAATACTAGAAACAAAAGGGTTTGCGATCCAATAGTGCGTAGTGCACTAAATCTGTAAAATGCAGAAACTTTGAACTGCTATATTGTACATTTGTAAATGCATACTTACGTAGATAATTTCACTTTTTGATGTAAGAACAAGAATTGGTGTATTTTTAGAAAAGAAGAATAAATTCATCATGATTAATGTTTGGTGGCTTTTTTTCCACTGATAACTGCCACATCCTATTTCTTTCTCTTGTTTAACGGAATAAGGAGGTAAAAAACAACTTGATTTGGATGTTATGACACTAATGGTATTTCAATCAATTACATTCCATTATCGTAAACAATACATAACAGCAATAAATATCATTTCAAATCAGATTGTAGTTGATAAATGTTTCATCTTGTGCTAGACTAAATTTATCTATTTCATAAAAAAAGGGTGAAAAGAAAACTGTTGTGTCGCGGTAGAACTTTAAATACGCAATAATAAGTGTAAAACATTCAACAGTCAACTAGAATTATAGGAAATAACTATACTACTACTGTTCATATGAGAGAAGAAACCTTATGACAACGCCCCACAAGCGAATAAATATACGAAAACAATGCAGGTGATCAATAGGCGCTTATAAAGTGGATTAGTGATTTATGAATAAACAGAGTACGTAGCGAAAAACAAAGCACAAATGTGAAGCCTGACGATAAACCAGTTAACTTGAAACATTAATATCAAATATAGTTCTCATAAACATTATGTTTCTAACCTTATAAATGTGATGAGTGATTACTGAAACTGTTTAGAATCCTTAAATTCTTTCCGGTTATTTCCATTTTTCTTGTAAATCATGTAGTTTTTACATATGATGATTGAGCCATCGTTGTTATCAGAAAAATTGAGTAACTCTTCAACCTATACATCATTTTTTTGATAAGTTGACATCAGCTACAAATTTGTTGAATACCAAAAGAATAATGTTCACATTGTTTCGTCTGGGTTTGAACTCATTCAGACTACTTACCAATGATCATACACGGAGTCAGGCCCATGATTTTTAAGTTGTACTGTGTAGAAGTTACTTTTCAACTACTTTATCTAAATTCAATGTTTACATTCTTAAATATATTTTTTTAATTTTTCATATCATTTCAATTATATGTAATCATATAGTTGAATGGATTGTATTTCACTCAGCATACAAAATAAGAAAAATATAGTACAGTCATCATTTTTATTCAAACTTCTAAGATAATATCTTGTAAGCGATGATGGATAGTGGCTAGCAGTGGAATCCAGGACGCTCGTTTCGTCTTATTTGGGACTCGTCAGCTGGATGTACCTGCATCTCAGAATTGATTTTCACTCGGAGACTCGAACCCAGTACCATTCGCTTCAAACGCCATCTCGTTATCCACTTAGCTACTGAGTCCTGATAGCCACTTGCCTGTGTAATGGGATGAATTTAAATTCACTGATCAATTACAGTCTTAAACTTCAATGGGGAGATATAAGCCAAATAATGCCAAGTGAATTATAAGATAATATTTTGTACAAGAATAAATATAATCAATTGGAAGATATTCACCTACATCATATTTTAATACATCAATCTGAATAAATTTAATTAGTTAATTAGTTCATTCTACTTTCTTTATTCTATTGATTATGAACATCATGATAACCTGTATTGTCTAGACATGTTCAATAAAGTTTGCCGTTTGTTATAGATATTAAAGAGGAAATAATTGTAGTATTAAATACATTGGTACTCGTTATCGGTATACATTATAATTCCCTTAGGTTAACTCCATTTAATGCATTCCTCTATTTAATTTTGTACACAATTTATCGACTAACTCAGTTAAGCTATGATGATATAAAAAGTCGAATACGACATTTACTGAACATCAATATATTCCAAACACTGACACGGCAATAGACAAACAGTAGTAATGAGTGAAATCATAAACGGTATGGTGACAATGTGATCCTATTAGGTGCGATTAAAATCACATAAATGAGGCAAAAAATGTATGAAGTATAAATGGGTAAATAGATAACTAAATAGACTGTAAATAAAGATAGACATTAGACACACATTTATGTTCAAATAGAAAAGTACGCAACTAATTTAATGTCTAATGTTAAATCAAAGTAACTAAAGTAGTCAAAATGACACCTACACTTGATCGGCACAGTTTTATGTGACCACAGAGAGTTTGACTTGTGGCGCACATCAATAGATCAGAGGGGTTCTGTACAATACAACACAACTACAGAAGTGATAATAAATAAGGACCTTAGTGTTGGTGGTGAGTATGACACTGTCAGAATCTACTGGTTTACATCTTCAACACCGACCAATTATCAAATACAAATTGACAGCAGTAACTTACAGAATAGAATAATTTTCTTGGCTAATTGTTTTATTAGCTTAGTTCATACTTTTATAAATCATCAAGAGTTTCTTCAACTATTTATGTTTAGCCTCAAAGAATACAAGTCAGTGTGAAAGCATATGAAAATCTTTTAAAATACGGTGTTTATGATTTAACTGAGAAGGGAAGAGTTGAATTAAAAGTGAGTAAAATTTCATTTTTGTTTCGTTTTTGATTTTGTTAAAATCGTTTATACTGAAATTAAGACAACTTTCTAGCATTTGATTGCTCGCTAAGTGGTGACCCATATAATCTAAGTCAAGTCCATTTTGGTATTGATCGATTTCCACCGATCCCGTTGTAATACGACCACTAGTTTAAGTGACTTGATTTCACATGTACTATGTTGAAATGTCTGGTGGTAGCTGGAGGAAGTAGACCGGAACTCCTGAACCTTGATCAACAGAATTCTATCAGAGCTGAAAAGGACATGACATATATGACATTTTTCATTTCTCAGTGATCAATCATTTTTAAATACATCTCAGTCCCACATGTCAGTTAAGGCCTGGATGGTTCAGTAGTAACGTCCCTGACTGAGAACCTGAGTAATGCACAATGGAGTCAGCCGGAGAGTATCGATTCCTTCAAAGTTATAGGTACACCTTGTTAACTGATGTCCAATAGCACGAAACATAAGTCAAGCTAGGTTCCTTTTTGACTAAATCCAACTAACACATTACGTCTGAATATTATTTTGTGTATATTCATGAGAAAATCTATTTCTTTATTTAGAAAGATGATATTCTATTCAAACAATTGCATCCAAAATGCTTCTAATTAATTTATTCTTGATTAAACAATCACAACACGTTTCGTTCCAGTTGAACAAATGCGCGACAACCATGACTTAATACCTAGGGGTATTACCACGCTGGCTTTTAAAGTCATAGGTATTTATTATGACGAGTGGTGTACGAATTCTGATACTGATACATAAAGTGTCACACGCTAACTCCCCAAATGACTACTTGAGCGAGAACAAAAGAGTGGACGAGAAAGTATATTGAGCTACTAAATAAAATGCAAAAATACTGATTTATATAGGTACAACTCTACTCCTAAGGGAATCAATTCACTTCTTAGCCAATGAAACGCACTTGTCCTTCAGATCACTTCTGATTGCCGTCAATTGACATTCTCATTTGGTTACTTCTGGTTGTCTTACCATGTCAATATTGGGTCTCATTTTCAATGTGAACGTCAGCATCGGGATACAGTTACATCTAGATGACAAGTAACACTTTAAACAAGATGAACGTGATGGAGTTCACTGCTTATTACTCTTCAGAATATACTTGATTTCTAAGAATAATCATTACCAAGAAATCTGTACAACAGAGATTGATCAAATTTCAACTCTGAATATCGACAGCCAAGAATATACGATTCTTCGCAAATGCTGCCTTTCTGAAAAGTGTACAACCTTTCGTTGTCAAAGTTACAAAAAACTCAATAAGAGCCAATGTGGTTGCTGGCAATATACAGCGAAAAGAATGCACATTATTCAGATGTTCATTTACTGAACTGCTAACATCTAACTGGCGATCACTCAATATTTATCGTCAGGATCGACCAAGAAGAAAGAAACGGAAACTTGTTGAAATACCTTACGCTGAGAAATCTATATTGTACCAAAAATATAATATTGAATAAAGCTGATAATAATAATAATAATCATATGAAATAAATTGTTCAATCAGTTCATACAAGCATTTTAACCGTTCGGTTAATATGCTACTGTTTTCTTTGCAATTATATAAAAGCAGAAACAAATTTTGGATAATTAATCAGTGATTAGTTAAGTTAATAACTATGAAGAACCTAAATCAGTTTTGAAATAAAAGGAATAAAGTAAAAACCAGTTAAAAGCTACTAATCACATGATGAACACTGTATTTAATAGGTTTTTTGAACCAAATACTATTCAGTTCATTTTGTATTGGTTGCTTCAATCTTCCTATTGATGTTTAGGACTGCAATCGATCAGTTTCTTATTGGCATACGTGCATGCTGAGCGAATTGTATCGGTATTGCCTCAAGTCATAATCATTATAAGCTGAGATGATGGTGGCTAGCAATGGAATTCAGGACGCGCGTTTCGTCCTTTTCGAGACTCGTCCAAGAGTGAACACCAACTCTGGAATGCAGGCACATCAAACTGACGAGTCCCAAATGGGACGAAACGCGCTTCCTGAATTCCATTGCTAGATACCATCATCTCAGCTTATAAATACTGTTCACTAATAAATTATGTAAAATAAAATATTCCATTCGAGGTAAGCATAAGCACAGAACTGCTGATTTACGTTGTGAACTTAATTTCTATCCATGATTATCTGATAAATATTTCACTTGAAACATCTTGATTGAAAATCTTATTTGTAAGTAATAGCTTTGATAACCTAACATATTTGCATTGATACACTCACTTAACCAGTGTTTCCATCTGACAAATTTTATTCGTAAATAATTTGGAATATAATGTTTTCCGGTAAATTATTCGTTCATATCAGTAATTGATCAGTCAATTGAATCATCCGATTTTTTGTTCATTTTTAATTGTTACATTAATAACAGTGTTTTTTCTTGTAGAAGGAATCACTTAAACTATTGGGAAATATTATTCAAAGTGAAAATTTCATTTTCTAGTTTACTATTCGTATATTAACTTCCTTTATAATCGGATCAGATAAACACCAAGATTTACTCGAGTATATTAACTTCAGTATGGGAATTCGGAGATGTTTATATTTTATTGAGGTCACTAACATATCTAAGTTGGACAACCATTGAAAATAAAAAAATATTAAATGATGACTTCAGTAGTCAATCTAAGCTAAGCCACCATTGAAAACCTGGAAGCACTGAACAGCCGTTTCGTCCTAGTATGAGGCTCCTCAGTAGTGCACGCCATTGATCTCGCAAGCGTGACTCAAGCCCAAGACCTACCGGATGCTCACTAATATGAAGTTTCATACTAGGACGAAACGGCCGTTCAGTGCTTCCAGGTTTATATATATAATTTATATTTATAGGACTGTAACATTCATACAAGACAATGATTATTGCTAAGAACAATTTTTCTTATTATTTATTAAAAGGATGGTGGTACAATATTAACTTATTGGTTAAATGGTAGATCAAATTCTTCAGATGATGAGAAAACTGCTAAATTCTTAGATGAATTAAATACTGAACGTGAAAGAATTGCCGATTCCAATATGGCTTCATCACATCAACGTTCTGGTGAAAGCTGGGAATCTGTAACAGCTAGTCGTTGTAGTTCCGCTAGAACATTGGCATCAAAACGTAGTTCAATGTCAATATCTCAACGTGCTAGTTTAGCAGATCCAGGAATTGATATAAAATCAATGGCAAGATTAAAAAGTTTAGCACAAATTAATGAAAATAATAAACGTTAAAGTATTACAAAGTAGAAATTGAAACAAACAAACAAACAAACAAACAAACAAAAAGTCCCTAAATGAATAAACAATGACAATATAGAAACATTTAAAAAGGAAAAGAGAGAAGAGTGAATATTTATTATTATTATTTTTGTTGGTTTTGTTTTCATTGTTTCGTTGTACTTATTATTCTCCTACTTCGAAACAACAACAAACATTTGATTGAACATAATTAAGATGAAATATGTTTATCAATTAAATAAGGAGAATGTTTATTTAGAGTTATTATTTGTATGTATTTGATTAACTGACACATTATTATTATTATTATTATTACTATTATTATTATTATTATTATCGTTATTATTATTATTATTATTATATTGATAGTTTCAGAGGGATCATTAATAACTTTTCAATTAATGTAATTTATTAATTGTTAATATGATTTCATTTATTGATAAATAACTAGAAATAATTAAAGATAATTACATTTTATTGATTAGTATTTTATTAATAATAATAATAAAATAACTTTTCGATTGTTCAAATGAATGAATCAAATTCTAATGAATTAATAATATACAATAATGTAATATGACCAAATGATATAAGCCTATTGGAATGTATTAGTATTGAAAACAAAATGATTAGTCAGAAGAATTAATATCGAGTCAATACGTACAGGATGTACATATGCCAATATGAGACTGATTAATCGCAGTCTTAAATATCAATGGGAAGATTCAAGTAAACAATACCAAGTGAATTTAGATGAATAGGTTATTTATGGAATAAAATTATGCGGTTAATATATAAAATATTAAGACGAAAAACAAGATGATAAAATGACATCAGTGATTAGAGGAAATCACTTTATAGGTTACTCAATTGCTTACTTGCTTACGCCTGTTACTCCTCGTGAAGGAGCATAGACCGCTCACCGGCATTCTTCATCCAAGCCTGTCCTGGGCAATCCTTTCCAGTTGTTATTCATCCTTTTCATATCTGATTCTATTTCCCGACGTAATGTGTTCTTTGGCCTTCCTCTTTTCTGCTTCCCTTCAGGATTCCAAGTTAGGGCTTGTCTCGTGATGCAACTTACTGGTCTGCGTAATGTTTGTCCTACTCACTTCCAACGTTGTTTCCTAATTTCCTCTTTAGCTCGAAGCTGGTTTGTTCTCTCCCACAAACGGCCGTTGCTGATGGTATCCGACCAATGGATGTTGAGTATCTTGTGTAGAAAGATATTTATAAATAATTGTACCTTCTTGATGATGTTTTTAGCAGTCCTCGAAGTTTCAGCTCCGTACAGTAGAACTCCCTTGACGTTCGTATTGAAGATTGTGACGTTGACATTGGTTGAAAAATATTTTGAGTTCCATATGTTCTTCAATTGTAGGAATGCGACCCTTGCTTTGCCGATCCTCACCTTTACGTCCTCATCTGATCCTTCTTGTTCATCGATGATGCATCCCAAGTATGTGAAGGATTCTACATCTTACAGAGTTTCTCCAACAAGAGTGATTGGATTGCTGTTCTCCGTGTTGTATTTGAGGATCTTGGTTTTCCCTTGTGTATGTTGAGGCCTACTGATACAGAGACTGCTGCTACACTGGCTTTCTTTATTTGTATTTGTTCGTGTGTATGCGATAGGAGGGCCAGGTCATCTGCGAAGTCCAAATCGTCTAATTGATTCTGAGCTGTCCATTGTATGCCTTGTTTTCCCTCAGATGTCGAGGTCTTCATAATCCAGTCGACCACCAGAAGAAAGAGGAAAGGAGAGAGTAGACAGCCTTCTCTGACTGTGGTCCTTACTTGGAATGCATCTGTCAGCTGTCCTCCATGCACGACTTTGCATTGTAGTTCGTCGTATGAGTTCCGGATAATATTGACAATCTTCTCAGGAACTCCATAGTGTCGAAGAAGTTTCCATAATGTCCTCCTATTTACACTGTCAAATGCCTTTTCATAATCAATCAAGTTGATGTATAGTGATGAGTTCCACTCAACTGATTGTTTGACGATGATCCGTAAAGTTGCAATTTGGTCTGTGCACAACCGATCCCTACGGAACCCAGCTTGTTGATCTTGAAGCTGGGCGTCTACTGCGTCTTTCATCCAGTTCAGCAACACTGTTGAGGACTCTCCCTAATACTGACAGTAGTGTGATGCCTCTGTAGTTTTCACATTTGCTCAGATCTCCTTTCTTTGAAATCTTGATGAGGTGTCCTTCTTTCCAGTCCATCTGCACTTGTTCCTCCTCCCAAATCTTTTGGAATAGAAGGTGAAGCATGTTTGTAGTTACTTCGATGTCTGACTTCAGTGCTTCAGCTGGTATGTTGTCGAGTCCCGTTGCTTTCCCGTTCTTGATTTGTCTGACGGCCATTCTGATTTCTTCCTTCGTTGGTGAGTTGACGTCTATGGGAAGATCTCTGTGTGCTGCTTCGATGTCCGGTGGATTCAACGGAGCTGGTCTATTTAAGAGTTCCTCGAATTATTCTACCCATCTGTTCCACTGTTGTTGAATTTCAGTGATTGGCCTTCCTTCTTTGTCTTTGATCGGTCTCTCTGGTTTACTATATCTCTCTGCTCGTTTCTTCGTTGTATCATAAAGCTGTTTCATACTTCCTTCTCTTGCAGCTTTTTCGGCTGTCGTTGTTAGTTCTTCCACGTACTTCTTCTTGTCGGTTCTAATGCTCTTCTTCACTTGCTTGTTCGCTTCTATGTATTCAGCTTGTGCTTGGACTTTCTCTGCTCGTGTTTGGCTGTTGTTAATTGCTGTCTTCTTGTTCTTCCTTTTTTTGATCTTGTCCAGTGTTTCTATAGAGATCCATTGCTTATGATGATGCTTCTTGCGGCCCAGAACCTCCTAACACTTTGGAGTTAATGCTTCTTTGATACCTTCCCAGGTTTCCTCCATAGCAGTTTCTTCTTTTTTCAGTAGATCCTGTAAGGCTTGCAACCTATTGTTGAGAGTTATCTTGAATTCGTTGAGTTTGTTAGTATCTTGAACGAAGGCTGTATTGAACCTTTGTTATGCTAATTGATTTTAGATTGTATGTTAGTAGGAACTATTTAACAAGTCATATTTGTAATTCTAAATGAACTGACCTCTTTCCTGTGTTACTCAATATTACAGTCAATGAGTTATCATTGACTTCTCAGACCTATTCGATTGATGATTTGAGATTCTGTCTCATGAAAAAAAATCACTAGTTCAATTTCATATGAAGAGCAAAAATTAAACCTAACAGTCAAGTTTCAATTGAATTAATTTTTCTGGTTAGCTAACCAGAAATCTAAAGTCAAAGCCATGGGACGGCCCCCAGAAAGCGCAGTGAAGCCTTCAGAGGCTTTAGAGGATCCGAAAAGATCCCATCTGATAAGAACCTGAGAGAAATTTCAAGAATATCAACGTCACTTGCTACAATCGGACAATTGTATAATTTTCTACTTGCGGATTGACTGGATTATAATGATGTTATAACTTATACCATCAACTATAAATATTTCTGTTTTTCTGTACATTCTTGACATTTACTCAGTAACGGTTCTCATGCCTTCTTTCTTTTTTGATTTGAGACTGTGGGTTTTCTATGCGTTCGAGTGCCGATAGCCGTATTAGCCTTAATCAAGTAGAGGACATAAGAAAAGCTGTCTTCGGTTTAATGTCTCATTCTGAATAATATGTATGTAGTCAGGTTTTTTATTAGATTTCAGAACTCTTAAATACTAGAACAGTTATGCAGAGATAGTGAGATAAAGCACATCTAAACCGAATAATTTAGACTCATAACTTTTCATTTTAATATACCTGAGAATTATTTTTAAATAAAAACTGTATTGACAGTTAACGCTCAATTTATTGTGTTTTTTTTGTCTCTAATAGACTAAACTGATTTGTTGTCGAGAGATTTATTGAACTTTGAGTTAGCTTATGTTACAAATTGATATCGAGGTAAAAAGAAATAAATAGTTGGTTTGTTCTAGTTTGAGACTTCTTAACTATGAATACTTATCATTTACACGTAACGACAGAACAGAAGGTATACAGATGTTGTGGTGAAAGCTTGATTATTAAATCGCTGAGTTACTTCACATTTCCAACTTTAGTCAATCCATAACATGGAGTGATTGTAATACCAAATCATATGTGAAAACGATAACAATAAAGGTTGTGTAACGTCCACAGGATATGAGTTACTTAAGAAGAGGTATAAAACTAGCGGTGTATATTATAATAAGCTGATTTAAAATCCGAAGGGTTTGTAGAGAATGTCATATTGTATAAATTACATCCATACTAGGACGGAACAGTCATCCAGAACTTCTTAGTTTCAAATATTTGTCTAGATAAGGTTAATCTATTGTGAGCCATGAAACTGTTGAGAATACTTGTTTATGTCATTAATAAAAATTAAAAGTATTTAGAAAATTATGTAAAATATCATGAACAAATGATAATGGGAAAGTAAACAGATAAGATAAATGTACAGCTGAATTATATTGTAAAATCATCGTAACGCTGACTGTTTGTTAGATTTCCATAGTTTACCAAAGTAGTTATTACATGCACTTCATGTATATGTTTGTGTACGTGCGTCCAACTCCCTTTTCAAGGTCAACACTTAAAATTAACTGACAAAATCAAATATTGTCTTCCCAACCAATAAGAATCCATTTGACCTAATCTATGCAACAATTCATAAAATTATCTTATAAGGGTAATATTTGTAATCAATTAATAATACCGATACTTGAAGTGGTGGTGGTGGTGATAATATAAACAAAATCATTTATTTTCTTTGTTACTTGTTTTTCTCGTTTATTCACTGTTTAAAGGAGATAGAGAAGAAATTGTTTCACACAGTAATTATTATACAGAATGGTTAATAGTAAGCTAGGGGACTAGGAATGACACGTTGATGTAAAAAACAAAAACCCACTAGAAATTAGTAGTGATAATCATATTATTAAGTGTGAAAATTAGATTTGCACTTACCTTAAACTAAAAATCTGTATATATTAAGCTTTATCTCGGTCATTTATGGAAGAAA